TAGGTTACCCACAGGGCAGTAATGCTGCCTTTGACAGCAAAAGACAAACTACAGGGTGTTGAACGAGTCCTTCAGAAATATCCTATTATTGTTTAGCCTGCATGGCAGGCGGTTCCTAAAATTGGACAAGCCTAGGAAATACCGCCTGCCATGCAGGCTAATTATTGTTATCCTTGTTAACCCATTTATTGACAGTACCCTACCACTGACTGAGTATTAAAAATCGTCTGGCGTTGGACAGGGTAAATACTAAAGTAGGGGTCATTACTGTGCTGATGAATTAACAAGAGCCATTAGCAGATAGGTTTGTTAACCCATTTACTGGCAGTACCCTATACCACTGACGAGTAAAATCTTCTGGCGCTCGACAAGGGAAGGGCACATTGCCAGCTAATGGGTTAAACCACCGTGGTTAAACATAATATTTCATGATGCTCCAGGAAATGTAAACAAGCTATCAGTGTGACATCCCAGTTTATATATTTATATACTCGGAATATTGATTTCTCGGTACATACAAAATTATTTTAAAGTATAACAAACAGCGAAGACGTAAGGCACTAACTATCAATATTTTCAAAAGCGGCCAATTAGAAAGCACCGCATATAGTGCTCGACGAACCACTGCGTATAATTGCAAAAGCATCGCGTATATAAATGGTGAAAGCACCGCGTATAATACTGGAACCACCATTCCCCCCCCCCTTGCTTTTCCCACCCTCGCCCTCCCCCCTAAATAGCGCCTGCTACGCAGGCTACGTATAATGGCGAAAGCACCGTGTATAATGCCAAAAGCACCGCCGTATAATGCTAAAAGCACCCAACAAAATGCCGTTTGATCACTTTAAGCCAGCTATGGCTTTCCATAAAAGAAGACCAAAGATGAGGAAGATTTAAGGTTGGTCTTCATATGGGGCTATTCATGTCCTGTTGACCATACCTTCAACCATATTATGTAGTTTTTTTAGTCTATTTTATGTATGGTTGTAAAGTTAATAAATAAAATAAATAAATAAATGAAACATGATCACATTGCCTGTTTGCCTTATGCCTGACCGCGCTGCACCACGGTTAAAATTCACTGGTAGCGTCATGCAATGCGCCAAATAGAAAATTTTGATTTCGACCCATTAACACCTTCGTTCACCATACTTACCCGTTTGGATGGTGAGGTGTTAGCCCGGGTGACCGAGGGGTGGCCTGGAACGACTACTGGTACTACTGTTACTTGGACTCGGGTTAAGATCCATGCCAGTGGTATCTTGAGCAGACCACCCCCGCAGGACTAACACCTTCACACCAATTAACAATTGGTGGAAATATAAAAGAACAGAAGAGAAAAAAAATCTTTGTTCCTAATACGTTTACTACGCTTCCAACGCACAATGATTACTAATACCACCAATGCGCGGCCAACCTCTTATTACATACTCGCCCGGCCCCCTTTTGGTCACATGATGTGCTGACGTAACGAGGCTTGGTTCCCTAGCTGTTAACCTTTGTTATTGCATAACCTCATCAAAACAAAATTAGGACTGCTGCCTTGCTCGCTCGCTTCAGGCTCGCTTGCTGCGGCAGCAACAAGTGGATGAAAGCTTTAAATTAATCCTATTTACAAAGCACACAAATTATTTTGTTACTTGATAAAATTGACAGGACGCGGAAGTATTAACAACACATCAGCATAACGCCAAGCTATTAAGATTGCGCGGTATATTTAAAACAAAAATATGTCTGTCTCGAGTGCATGCCCTTTAAATGTTAGCTAAAAGAAATTTTTTCGCATGTCTGCATGAAGACACTAATTCATTACGTTTGTTCAAAGTAGCCAGTTCAGGTTTACATATAATAAAGTATTTTTCCCACAGGCACAGATTACATCTATTAGAAGCAGGGCTGTTGGGTTTGGCCCGTTTCAAGGTTTGCCATTTGATATGAAATTCAATTCCTTTGCGCTTTAACTGCCAGACATATTTACTAAGTTCAGTGGAGTTCCTTTTCTCGTACATACTGTAGTAAATGAGGTTTTGTGGTTGTAATATCTAGTTTTAAAAGCGTTTTCGGTCAGACCAACGTATGTTTGAGGTGGACTATTGTCGTTGGTAGAAACTGTAGCTTGATATACAATAGATTCGACCAAACACTTTTTGGACATTGGGCACTCCTCTTTCTTTCTACAGTTACATGTGCTTTCTTCGCTCGTTGTGGCGGTTTGTGACAGTTTGGTCTTGTTGTGTCCGTCGATGGTTTGTTTGATATTAGGCATGCAACTGTAGCTTATTTTAACAGTGTTGCGGTTGAATATTTTGTGTAGGGGGTGGCCTATCGGGAATTCATCATCGATGATATTCAAAAATGTTTGTCCAATATTTGTTGATACATTTTTACTAAATGGTGGATTGTACCAAATGATATTACGTCTTCGATTTCGGGTTCGAGGGGTTGTATGATTAAGTGGGTGCTTGTACTTTAACTGGTGTTTATAACCACTATTCTGAAGTGCTTGCTGGTATTGTTGCGAGGCTTGTTGAAATGATTCCTCATCGGATGATATTTCAGTTAGGCGTTTGTTGATAGACAGTGGGATATTGCGCAGGATATTAGGTGGGTGATTAGATTTCTTGTGCACGTAAAGGGGTATATTATTAGGTTTGGCGTATGGTTGATATTTCCCAATACAACGAAAACTTCGAGGAATTTGTTTGCTTGGCTTAGCTTCAATTGTGATTTTAAGTCCGTATTTGTTGAAAATGGAACACAAATCTTTTTTGATATTTTCGATCTCACGCGCTGTCGCTTTAATGACTCCTAACCCGTCATCTCTATATAATCCGAATCTATATATCATCGATGATGAATTCCCGATAGGCCACCCCCTACACAAAATATTCAACCGCAACACTGTTAAAATAAGCTACAGTTGCATGCCTAATATCAAACAAACCATCGACGGACACAACAAGACCAAACTGTCACAAACCGCCACAACGAGCGAAGAAAGCAAATGTAACTGTAGAAAGAAAGAGGAGTGCCCAATGTCCAAAAAGTGTTTGGTCGAATCCATTGTATATCAAGCTACAGTTTCTACCAACGACAATAGTCCACCTCAAACATACGTTGGTCAGACTGAAAACGCTTTTAAAACTAGATAGCTATTACAACTACAAAACCTAATTTACTTTGTACGAGAAAAGGAACTCCACTGAACTTGGTAAATATGTCTGGCAGTTAAAGCGCAAAGGAATTGAATTTCATATTAAATGGCAAATCTTGAAACGGGCCAAACCCTACAGCCCTGTTTCTAATAGATGTAATCTGTGCCTGTGGGAAAAAAACTTTATTATATGTAAACCTGAACTGGCTACTTTGAACAAACGTAATGAATTAGTGTCTTCATGCAGACATGCGAAAAAGTTTCTTGTAGCTAACATTTAAAGGGCATGCACTCGAGACAGACATATTTTTGTTTTAAATATACCGCGCAATCTTAATTGCTTGGCGTTATGCTGATGCGTTGTTAATACTTCCGCGTCCTGTCAATTTTATCAAGTAACAAAAAATAATTGCTTTGCTTGCTTTGTAAATAGGATTAATTTAAAGCTTTCATCCACTTGTACATAAATACTGTAGGTTTTTTGCAGTAGTCATAAGGCTAATTTATCTGATGAGTACCACATCTTGTGGTACGAAACTAATAGTATTAAAGATGCCTAGTGGAATTTGTTGGGTCGTTGCACTTAGCACAAGCCAATCAAATGACAGATTTTAAAAATCGTTTGTCTAATCGGTCAGTCAGGCAAGAAAGCCAGAATCTGGCTTTTTACATGCGGCGCGGTAAAGAATTGTATCAGGCCCTCCTTTATTCGCCGCCGCCAATTAATCCTGGTGAATGAAAACATAAGGGCCTGATACTCAGGCTAACCAATGTGAACCAGACTGAACGCAAGCTTGTTCAAGTGTTGCCATGACAACACGATATTTTTATACCACAACAGCTATTGCCAATTACAGCGGCCCCAATAGTTATACAGAAACAATTTACAAAGTATACTAAACACACACAACAGACAATACTTGAACAACAGTCATTACATTTGTCTAAAAGCAGCATGTCAATGGAGAGTTCCTTAAACTTCGAGCGGAATTACATTTTATAAACACACTTTTCCATGTCCGGGGATCCTCAACATTGTATGTATTTTCTGATGCTAAAATATAGTACTTAAAAAGAAGATTCTTGAATTCTGAAAATGTTAGGTCTTTGGATGTAATATAATTGGGTAGTGTGTTTCATATTCTTGGTGTTCGGATTTTGTGAGATTTTTCATAGGTTGACGTCTTGTATGTCGGAATTTTATATTAGTGCGAGTTGGGATTAAATCATCTTGTCTGTCTTTGACCCTGAGGTTGACGAAATGGAAGAATTTTTTTATCAATATTAAAAATGTCGTGATTTGCCTTATAGAAGAATACTACATCCAGGTATTCGTGCCAGTCGCTGAGAGGGAGCAAACTGGTTGCAAGGAGTCGGTCTCTCATTCTGTATCACAAATAAAGGGAACATTTAAAATATATTTAGTTGCACGCCTCTGAACTCGTTCTACTCTTTTCACCAACTCAACTGTTTCGGGCGCCCATATTTGGGTGGCATATAAATATGCATACAGTGTAATATTCTAAACAATTATTGGATGAGGCTGAGCATGATATCAAGAATTATTCAGACCGAGGTCAATGTTATCTGCCGAAGCGAAGCTGAGGCAGATAACATTGACCGAGGTCTGAATAGTTCTTGATATCATGCGAAAGCCGAATCCAATAATTGTTTTATTATACATTTAAAGACATGAGAAACGTATAAAACGATTAAACGAAGTTTATTATTTATTCAAAGGTTAAAATCAACTTTACAATTTTAAAAGTTAAACTGCTTTGCGTTCTGATTATTTAACGAAAATCTCTTTCAGTATTTTCAACTTCACTAAAATTGCACAAAACTATTAAACAATCAATTCTATTTGCAATCGAAGGTTAAAATCAACTTTACAGTTGTAAAAGTTAAACTGCTTTGCGTTCTGATTATTTGAGGTTTGTATCGTCAAATCTCTCAGTAGAAATTCTTCCTGTGAATCAGTCAACAGTGGTGGAGAAGCAGCTTCAGGTGTTACTGTACACTCGTCACTCGGTGTCACGGACATCAAGCTGTTTGCCATCTTTGCTTTTGTGTTCTGGTCGGTCTTGCAGTAATTCTTGATGCTACTCTCGCTTCGATGACCGCTTACATACATAATATGACGAGCTTCAAATCCACTTCGGTCAAAGATTGTTACGGCTGTTGCTCTTGTCGAGTGGTTGGTATAAATGATAGACAAATTAGCTTGTTGTGACAACACTTTCATTTTCTTCCCCAAAGTGTGTTCTCCGAGAACCATGTTGTCGTACCAAACTTCACTGTCTGACACCTGTCTTGTTTTCGGTCGTTGGAACAGATAATCATTTTCCGGGTTCAAATGAGATAAATACTTCTCGGATGAGGCCACAGGACACAATGAACCTTCGTTTGACATCATTATTCCTCCATCTTCTGCCTCGTCATTCTCCCTGCGGTTCTTTGTCAGTTCGTCCGTTGTTTTGATAACGAAGCGTCTGCCCTTGGCGTCGGTCTGTATTTCAAAGTGATCCTTTTTAAGTTGACGTAAATTCTGCCTCCCTCGGCGACAGAAAAACAACATTACTTCAAAAAAGACTTTATTCTGAAGTGTTGTTGGGTTATCATCGTTGAAAACACCACATTCGTAAAGTCTCTTTATGTCTTCGTCGGCAATGGCGGGTTTGTGTTTAGTTTTTGCAAGTCCTTCTTTCTTGAGTTTTACACATTGTGCAATAAACACTTGGCTGGCTTCCTTGAATTCGGTGTCCTTTGTTATGTCGACGTTCAATATCTCTTTGAAGTGTCTATTTAATCCAAATCTAATAGCACTAAGCGAGCTCTTCTGGTATTGACTTCCACCTTGCTTTCTTGTTTCGGCATAGAACTGCTTTAAAATAGCGGCCAGTTGTACGGCATATTGGGGATATTCTACCTTCTTTTGACGAAGATACTCGTCAAAAATAGCTTTGCATCCCTTTGTAGCTTTCTTAGTACTGTCACTGTCTTTATCTGCTAATAATTTTGACAGGTCGTTTTCATCTAGCGAAGCAAATCTGCTGTAGGCCATTGTTTGTTTGGGGTTTTTTCGCGCGCTTTTGGGTTGAGTTGTTGGCCGCGCCGGGGCTTGGGAACGACAGCGTCCAATAATATTTTTTTGGATGCAAGTTCGATCCAAAATAACAATTATTGGACGCTGATGACGTCATCGGCGGAAAATACGTAATAAATGCCGAATACTGAAAATCAGCCGGTGCTTTCTGACCAATTAGAAACGAGAATACATATTAAATGTATGATAATAAATATTTTGTGACGCCGTACGGCAACTATCTACCGTCTAAAATTAAAACTAGAGGGGAGTAGAGCGGTACGTGTCAAATTCTTCAGCGTTGTATCTTTCCCGTTGTAATAAACAATGCAATATATAATTTTTTATACACGATTTAATTTTTGTGATTAATCATAGTAAAACTCGGATACAAATATGTGCGCATTCATGATTTACATTTTGATAACATAGCACGTACAAAATATTCTATTTAGATTTTACCATTGTATGGCGATTTCAAAATGTATAAATTGTAAGAGTTGGGATGTAATTCAACAATGGCCATTGCCAAATTTCCGTAGACAGATTTTATCGCATTTATAGAATGTGTTGAAAATGTCGTATTATTAGTATAGCTGTAACTGTTATTTACGAAGGTTTAAGTATATAAAAGCAACGGGCTCCATGGGGTTACCAATATTTTAAATATCTATTCGAATATCTGTACTTATCGACTCCTGACTAGTTTACAAACTTGCAATAAAGTGAAATCGACAACTTTCATTGTATTTTTAGGTATTACATGTATGTGTCAATCATCGTTGTTAATTATTGCAAAATGCAAAGTGGGCGGAAGGCGCTTTTGACAACATTTTCATCAGACCTACGTTTCGCCCTTTCCGTCGACGAATTTTAGGGCGGGTGAAGCGTAGGTCAGTTATCAGGCAGCTTATGACTGGATAGAGCATCGTAATAGAAGGTCCAATCGAAAAGTGAAGCCGCTTTGAAGCCGGAAGTACGTCATGTTTTGAGACCGGGCGCCATGTTGAATGGCCCCACTTGAGGAGTGAAAGACTATAGATTCTATTGTAATACTGACATTTTTCGGAGTTTTCGCCTTATACTCGCTAAGTATGCGAAGAAATCAAGTCAAATCTGGTATTTCAAGAACAAGCACACATCATAGAAGAATGAAGAACAATCGAATGTTGAAAGAAACTAAATCGCAGGTAAATAATTTGATACTTTCACCGACTGGTTTTGATCGTCGAAATATCAGATCCGACCTAACGTCAGAACACATCACTATACTCTGCAGATTATTGTGATTTTTCAGTATGAAATAGTCACTTACTACCGTACTAAAACAATTACTTAAGTTTTTGAGTGGCTATGTAGGTTTTCAGCCGCATATAAACATTACCATAGTGTGCAGTTAAAATGTAATTCGGCTATTCCAATTATTATCCGCAACTCCCTGTTGAGGAACCTTGGACTTTCCAGAGGAGAGTGTGCATTAACCTTGGAATTTCCAGGGGAAAGGTGCATTAACTTTAAATTTCCAGGGGAGGGGGTACATTAACCTTGGAATTTCGAGGGAAGGGGGCATTCAGGCTGTGGAATTCCAAGGGGAGGAGTAATACTTACATGGAATTTCCAGAGAGAGGGGTAAATTTCATGGGATGGAAATTCCTTGGAAGGACATTTGTTGGAGGGAAATTTCCGGGAGTAAATGTCCCATGATGGAAATTCGATAGGGAAAGGTAATTTATACATGGAAATTCTATGGACGGGGTCAAATTTTAAATGGAAATTCCATGGGGAATTAAGGCCTAATTTTAAATGGAAATTCCATGGGCAAGGGTAATTTTTACAAGGAAATTCCATGGGAAGGGGTACATTTTACATCAAAATTTGCGGAAATTCCGACATGAAATAGTGGTTCCTCAACAGGGGGTTGAGTGCGGATAATAATTGGAATAGCCCATTGACATTTTATGCCCTGGCTGGCAAATTTGTTCTAATAGACTAACTGGCCAGGGTGCTTTCCATATAAACTACGCCAGAGATACGCCAACATATGCGATAGTTCACGACAATATAATGGACCTTTTAACTTTTGGGACCAAAATCCATGTTAAAATGGCTAACCTGGCATGTTTTATATACTGTTAACATCATATATTTCTTGAAGTTATACTCAGATATACATACGTTATGACAATCAAATCAGGCACAAACTTTCTGTAGTTACACTTATCACCTCTTTTTCAACTGATCTCACACCAATACACCAGCAATTTTGCAACCTCACGCCGAATATATCTGGCGTGGAGTTTGCAACTAGGTTTAGACTGTGACGTCAGCTGTAGTCCTATCCATTTATTTTATTATCCATGGTTGTAGGATGAAACCAAACAAGCAGATATTATCTGATGTAGTGTACAGTATTTGTTTCAAATGCGAAATGAAATGTATACAATGTATGTACTGTATATTGTGGCCAAAGCCCTGAAAATTGGTTTGAAAATACTAACTATCATTTTTGTATATTGTATTTCAGTTGTACTGAAGACTGTACAAATTCAACACAAGATTGTAAATTCTATGAAGCTTTGTCCATCAGTCATCAAGAGTACAACAGTCAATATGCACCTGTAGTTGTTGTGTTAGTTTATATTACATTAAAGATCTTTATCAACTCGTGTTGTTGTCAATACCATCCGCACTTTTAATCTGGATTTCTGCCATTTAAATAATGGAGAAATATTGTAGATTCAGAGTGTTGTGGGTTTAGCTGGTCAAAATGAAGAAACTAAGTCCATTTTGATACATGTCTGAAATCCCTGATTGGCCCAGGAGCCTTGTTCATGTGAATTTTTAGCAGTTTAAAGCAAATAGCCTTCTATCTTGTTTCATGAGATTGAATACTTCCAGGCCAAGGAAGTATTTGTGATAAAATTACCAGACAGGAAACAGGTGCATTGGGAGATGAGACCTAAAGGGGTAATAGTGAGGGAAGTAAGTGTTGAGGTATCACTAAACAAATGTAAATTTGCATGAACATTTCATTAGTAAGTAGTTAAGACAATAAGCAAATACGATAGTAATTAAATTTTGCAGCTTTAATTTGACCAGTATTAGTATTTACAAATTTATTTCTCAAACACTATTAAATTGATTTGAAGCATCGACTGCACAAACTGTCCACGAGGAAATCCACTACCATGAGTGCTGGAATGTTCTTGGCTGTTAAGTCAGCATTCTGTCTTCCCAACCCCTGCAATTAAAATATCAGGGTAATCTAGTGTGACTTCATTATTCACAGAACTTGATGACCACCACATGGGGTCATCCGTTTTAATAGTTCAAATATCTCAAATGCAAGAGAGTTAAACTTTTTTCAGTTATCGTCTGCCACACACAAATTAATAAAAGTTTCATATAACTCAAATTTAAAATTATCCCATCACGATTTAAGTTTTGACAGCCATGACAAAGGTTATATTATTAATGCAAAACGTACCTGTTTTATTATGCAGCACTCAGCAGTCAATATCGCCGCTAATTGTACCGCCTAACTGGTTCAGTTAGTTAACTGCTTTCTACTTTGAATCAGAATTCTTAACTAAATGAACCAACACTTGAATATGATCTAATCCTTGTCATTTTAGCCTGCATTGACGAGTCTGGCGTTCACTTCTTCAGTCCTCGCACAGTGGCACTCATTATTACAACGCAAAACTTCTGTTTTCTCTGTGATTTCACGACTAAAAACTTCAAATTTACTTCTTAAAGCATTCGTGTTATATATTCCTTTCCTGAAACAAGGTTTGTTTCGGTCCAAGGGAAGAAAATAAGCGTTTTAGAGCGAAAACTATACATTCTGTAATAGTATACAAATAATCAATGTTGCACGAATAAAAACATTCATTATTTGTTTTATATAATACCAAAATAGACTAATATTGAAAAGTTTACTGTACGCTCACGCCATTTTGACGAGTCATGTATTTGCATTAAATCCCATTTACTGAGTTTCGAATATCGGGTTAAAATAAACTGCGATCACCGTACGAGAAGCATTTTGACGGATGCGATTTATCGAAAACACAGAGAGTGCAATGGAATAAAACGTATAGTACAATTGCACTCGCAAGAGTGCAATGGAACGTATTCCATTGCACTCTTGGGAAATGGAATTTTCCATTCAATATCACGTGACCATAAACAGCCAATTAAACGATCAGAATTCAATAAGGTATTATATAAAAATCTATAGTATTCACTCCTCAAGTGGGGCCATTCAACATGGCGGCAGTCAGCTCATTGCAGCTCACTTCCGGCTTCACTTCTGAACACCGGATGCTCTATCCAGTCTTAGTGTATATCAGTGCTGGTTCAGTATTGGCCATTTCCAAATACTTCATGTTAATTCGATGTTTAGAAAATATAGGTGAGGGGTTGCTGCATGCATGCATGCATGTATTTCTAGTTTTAACACGTAGTTCTCCTTAAAATGAGCAGTTATTGAAAGACAAATGTGCCATTTGTTCAGTTCTTAAAACGCATGTGCATTGATTATCAAATTAACAAAATTGAAAATTTCAAATGTTGTTCTCATTTGCTCGTTTTATTGTAGATGCTATAGAAAACAACATAAATGCAGTAATTGAGCATAAAAAATATAAAACCTTTCTTGGGGAGGACCTGCATACTCCTCACGCATTTTCCTTGCACTAATTACTCACATGTTGGGCTACGCAACAGATGGTAAATTGGAATTTACTTTCTGTTCGGCTTCCTAAAAGTGACTAGAGATGGAGAATTTGATATTAAGCGCCGCCTGGAATGCAAATTTAAGAGAGGATGTCCACAAAAATCAAACATAAAGCGGACACGACTGAAAAATGCACCATATATTTTTTTAGGTTAAATGCTTTTTTAACTTTGAGAAAATGCCGTTTTAACACGACCACCCTAAATCGCCATTTTTTCTGGGAAAATATGCGCTGATTTTACAGATAAATTTCACGACGACAACCGTTTCTAATCGATCTAAAACCCTAAAAATCTTGTTTTCGGTTATTCAAAGGACTGTGTATATGACTTACAGGAAATCTGAGATTCTTTTAGGAATAGAAATAATCGTAGTTTTGGAGCACACTATCTTACTTCATTTACGATACCCTCTTAACAAAATCGATTTTCACCATGCGATAAAGCTCCAAATCGATCATGCTTCTACTAGTTGGCTCTTCGATAAACAAGCTTTCAATTGACATAAATACTTCTTTTGGCAAATTAATACGCGATAAACGACAGCGCGTTGAAATCTTCTGTTTTTGACGTCTTGCAAGTCAAACCCTGTTAATTTATACACCGTCGAAGTAAACAATTTAATCAAGTATTCTAAGTATTTTACCTTTTGAGAAAAAACATATTCTTGAATGGGGACTTTTCGCTTTGCTAAGATTAAAAGTGGTCCAGAAATCCAGGTATATTGGTAAAAAAATCATCAAACATCCAATATTTTGAGACATTGTTGACGGTTGCATGATAACTTCAGATCATTATTCAACGTGATCTACGACCCGGCCGTTTGACTTTAGCGCTAACATATACAAATCGATGAGCTATTTAAAGATTATACTTGCTACTAAATTCCCCAAAAGAATTGGAACTACAACTGCTGTTTTCAGAGGTTTTGATCCATATTAATGTACCATTTTATTTATCGACTAATGTTTACAAATACGTAGGTTAATTATTAAGCAGCTGTTAGCGTGCGTGTGCATGTGAAATGAACGTTAATAACGTTTATCAATATAAGGAGTTTTTATTTTTAGTTTACCAGCCTTATATTTGAATAGCCGCTTTCTTTCAAGTTGTTTCTCCAAAGTTGATTCCGAAATGTTAAGGTTTTCAAAAAAACTATCGAACTTTTCCATGATATTTACAGAGAAACGTCAAAGCTGTAAAGCCACCTCCCCCACCCCCAAAACGAACATATGACGTTTCTTGTGGAAAAAATCGATATGTGATGCTTCCCTAAAACTGCAAGGTTTACACTATTGAATTAAAATCCCACAGACCACAACGATTATACGTATTGATTGTTTCTTGACGATAGTAGACGCGTACGTGCATGTTGCGGAAGAGGTTATTTTGCTGGCCTGAGAGTGACAAAAGGTACCCTGGTTCTAGAGGTTTAAAATAATAAACCTCTGTTTGAAAGCGGCAATTACTTCATCGAGCCGCGCCAATCACCTCGAATTAGGGTAGATAGTTATGATAAGACAAGGGCGGCGCCAGGGCCGCCCATGCAGGGAGGCGGCAAAGGGGGCAATTCTCTCCGCGACCCCATCTCAAGGAAGACAGACAAATACAAATTTGCAAGGCGATAAAAAGTTTGTCGACGGAGGGGTAATTGTGGTTCACCGGGGCTCCAAGGGTGTAATTGGCCCTGGGGTCCCATATTTCACTGAGTTGGTTTGGGCTGCGCCAGTATTTCTCCGACGAGGGGAGTCATCAGTGCTCTCTTTTGATCTTTGTCAATTGGCATTAAAACAGCAAGAACTACTGACAAGTGACTAGGGCCGGATTAACGTCGCGCGAGGCCCGTAGCAAATTTTAGCGCGAGGCCCCCAAACCTCACTCTTTCTTCTTTTTATGAAAACCATTGAATTTAAAGACACACAGAAGTGTTAAATAATTTTTTTCCAATATTTCAATTTATTTGCACAATTATAAACGTGATAATGGCCTGCCTGGCGCAGTTGGTGGGTGTATAAACAGGATCATAATATAACAGCTCAACGCAACTAGAGATTATATGAACACGAGTATTGCATATTTTCCCGGGCTAGGGCGAACTGCCAAGCCTAGGGGCCCTAAATGCGCGGGGTCCCTAAATTCGCAAGGCACCTAAAATGGGTGTGTCACAATAGAAAATGGTCGTGTTCTCGTAAAAATAGGCGTAGCACAGTACAGGGCGAGGCCCGCGACATTTGCCGTATTTGACACGTGGTTAATCCGGCGTTAAACGAGCAACAAGCTTTCATTTTCTTTAAACGCGACGTGTGGGGAGACAATAATAATTTGTGGTGTCGCACTGGGCCAACATATCTCAATGCTGTATTTTTGGGTACTAGTACTTGTGAAATATAATAAGATCAATAGACATTAGTGTATCAAAATAAAGTAATTTTACTGATTATTTTAACTGTGCATCAAAGTAAACACACATTATTCTAAACTACAGTATTTGCTATATGCCTATAATTTGAGTTTGAGGTGGTAGAATGATCTAGAATATATAATAAAATAACAAATCCTTGTATGGATAAATGTTCATTTCACACGCACGCTATTAACAGCTGCTTAATAATTACCTCCGCCAGGAGGTTATGTAATCATCTGGGTTTGTATGTGTGTGTGTGTGTGTATGTGTGTGTGTATGTGTGTGTGTGTGTATGTGTGTGTGTGTGTATGTGTGTGTGTTTGTCTGTGAGCACGATAACTCAAGAAATACCAAACATATCCGTACGAAATTTTTTGAATGCATTTCCCATCGGCTAAGGAAGAACTGATTAAAATTTGGTTGAATTTGGTTAAAAATTGAACGAGAAATGAATAAAATTTTGTCTTGCTTTTCCCGGTCAATTAACAAAAAATATTACTGAATGCGTAATTAGGACATGTATAATTTATGCACTCAGTGCTAAGACAATAATGAGATGATAAACCTCATTAAGCTTCGGCCTTCATTATCTATTGTCTTAGTTGCATTTCACGCGACCGAAATTCAATGTCTAAAACAAGGCTTACGGAGTTACACATTATTACGTTCAGCAAAGTGCCAGTCCATTCAAATTCTAACAACATTAAATTACTTCAATACAGGGTGTATAAAAAGAAGGCAACCTCGGAATTTCCCAAGAAATCGACATTGTTTTAAAGACAAAAGATTTTAGCTGCCTGGGAATTTAAAATAGCACAACTGTGAAAATTACTGCACGCGCGAGTGCATAAAGCAAAATTTATGCATTTATTTAATGACACTTAATAAGTTTTTATTTTACAAGTACTGTACAGTACAACAACAGTAATATGTTCTATTAGCAATTCGATTTCAATTCGCGGGGGCCTGAAATCTTTTATGCTTAAGAATTATAAAGTGGATTTCTTAGGAAATTCCAAGGTTGCGTTTCACTTCCGAGTAACGGGCGGAGGTATGCAGTCTCTGAGTGTCCTCTAGTTAACTTATGTATTCGTAAACATTTATACTCGGTAGTCGATATGTAAATACTATTAAAATGATACATTATATATTATTATTATTATTATTAAAGGTTTATTAAGAAACACATTTTGGCACCCGAAGGTGAATTGCAATATGCCTACAGAAACATAATAAAGGATGAATATCAAATAATATAAATATAGATATATCATATATGTACAGTTGTTAAAATACTACAAATTATTTATTATTAAAATTAGCAGGCACTGCTGGTATAAAACTAGTTTTAAAACGTTCCGTATTGCATTTAGTTAATGTTAAGTTAGAATTGTTTCTTAAGTCCAGTTCATGCGATTCTTCACGGAGTGGGGGTAAGAGGCGGTTGAGGTGAGCCCGATTTAAGATCTTTTTGACAGTTTTAGCACATAGCTCTTGACGTCTGTCGTCAAGGCGCTTGCATTTAGCGATGTTGAGAGCATCTTCGTAATCTGTTGTCGGATAAATAATACGGAAAGCTCTTTTTTGAACTTTTTCAATTTTATCCCCCAAACACTTTGGTAACATGGTGTGCCAGACAGGACAGGCATATTCTAAGATAGAGCGCACCATAGAAAAGTAGACTAATAAGAGGTCATTGGGGGAAGACCACAGGGCTGTAGGACACGAATAATGTATAAGCGTTTTGAGGCTTTTTTAACTAACGCTTCAGTGTTATCTTGCCATTTCAATTTATTGTTCATGGTTAAGCCCAAAATTTTGAAAGAAGGAACTAAGTCTAGAGATAAACCATCAATGAGGAGTCGTGGGATGTCATTCTCGCTACGGACGAAACTCATCATTTCTTTGCATTTCTTTCCGTTCAATTTCATGTTGTTATTAACAGTCCATCTTTCAATTGTGTTAAGATCAGATTGTAGGACTGAAACTTCATTTTTCTTTAAGGACTCCGATACTGTTACGTCATCCACGTATTTCCAATGGTCAGTGCTAGAGGATGCCAGTTCAAGATCGTTGATCATAATTATGAACAAAATAGGGCCCAATTTAGTTCCTTGAGGGACACCTGCATTATTGATGCCCCAATCAGATTGGAAATTGTCGATCTTTACCGATTGACGGCGATTTGAGAGAAAGCTGCATATCCATGGAATAAGCGACAATCTGACGCCAAGGGCCAGCAACTTTGGGACCAGGATATTATGGTCTATGCGGACGAAGGCTTTACTAAATTCGAGGAAAACGATCCGCAGATAGCTCGATTTATCATCCAATGTTCTTAGCCAATTGTTGATCATGTCGATCAAGTAAAACGTTCTAGAGGTTCCTTTAAGGCACCACCATCCAATTGACCGCAAAGTTCTCAAGAATGTTGGACAAAGAGGCTGTAAGGGAGATTGGTCGCAACTCCTCCTCACAGGATACGGATGGCGCTTTAGAAATTGGTGTAATTAACGCACCTTTCCATATGTTAGGGAATTCACCAGTGGACAGAGATGTATTAACGATGTGACATACAGGTTCAGCCAATTCGTACGCGAAATCCTTAATAATCCGGTTAGGAATATTGTCAGGACCGCTGGATTTGAAAACTTTTGTATTGAGCATCTTAGTACAAACTTCGTCAGGGAAAATTTTTGGTACAGGCCTAGGTGCAGGGAGAAAGGTAGGTAGCAGGAGAGGATTCAGTGGTGGTAGGTCATTACTCACGCTTAAGAAATAGGTGTTAAGTTATTGGGCGCGATCTTTACCAGATAGAGTGGTACCATTCTTAAGGATCTTAATGTTATTGGTTGCAGATCTTTTTTCCCGGACATCTGGTTAACACAGTCCCACCATTTTCTGGAGTCACTGGATTTTAGGTGTTGTACCTTGTTCGTATAATATGCACGCTTTTTCACTCCTTTGTCGTTTCGGACTTTAAGTCTATAGTGACGCCAGAGGTCAAGTTTACCAGAATGAAAGGCTCTTTGCCTTTGATAAATCAGTTTTTTTAATGCAGGCGTCATCCATGGATTGCCAGAGTTATGAATTCTAATAACCTAAGACGGGAATAACCTATCAACAGCAGAATTTAATTAACTCGTTGGTAAAGGAAGACGCTAGAGCTGTGGCAGAGTTTTTGCTTTCGGCATCAGAGAACCACTCACATGAGCAGCACCATCTTCCAAAAGCTGAACGTGCCGACATGGGGAAGGAACGTATGTTTTTCTTAATTGTTTTATTATCTGTTCTTAAACGTTTGTTTTCGCGGACCATTTAACAATGTTGTATGGATCAATGCACACTGGAACAAAACAGCAATTGTCAATTGAAGTTCTAATTTTAGGAAATTTAGTAACAAATATAAAATCCCTAAACAGCTCGTCGATTTGTATGTTTGCGCTATTAAATGTAGACTATATTGAACAATGATCTGAAGTTGTCATGCACCTGACAACAATATTCTATTTCAAAATACCTGTATATGATGATATTTTACAAATATCTCGGGATTGTTGGAACAATTTTAAACTAAGCAAGGCAAAAAGTCTCCATTCAAGAATATATCTTCTTCTCAAAAGGTAAAATACTTAAAATACTTGATTAAATTGTTTAGTTCGACGGTATGTAAATTAACAGCGTTTCGATTATATCTATTCCTAAAAGTAACTCAGATTTCCTGTAAGTTTTGTATACCATCCTTTGAATAACCGAAAACAAGATTTTTAGGGTTTTAGATCGATTAGAAACGGTTGTCGTCGTGAAATATATCTGTAAAATCAGCGCAGATTTTCCCAGAAGAAATGGCGATTTAAGGTGGTCGTGTTAAAACGGCATTTTCTCATAGTTATAAAGCATTTGACCTAAAAAAATATATGGTGCAATTTTTGAGCAAAATCGATTTGGGCAAAATCGATTTTTCAGTCGTGGCCGCGCAATGTCTCATATGTTCGATTTTTACTGACATTCACTCTTAATGTTTATATATTGAAGGTTCTCTGTTGTCTGTCCGACTGTCTCAGAAACGTGTTTTGTGGGTTGTTGGGTAAGATACTCTTCCAAACCATTATTATGCAACCTAAATTAACAGACTAGAATAGTATTCAACTTGCAAGGTAGTCTTGCACCAAAAATTTCCAATATTTGCTTTTATTCGAAAAAAACGCAGTCTAATTCATAGCGTAATAAAAATGTACCCTAAACGGAGAAATTCAGCAAATTCTACACCTTTCTAGGGTACAACTATTAATTCACCCCCAGCAAATAAAGCTATAAGGTTGCATGGTTTACCTTTTTGTTCCACTTTTCAATTGTTTTGTTTTATTTAAATTATTCTAATATATGCCAAAACTTTAAAATCGCTTTTCCCAAAAGAATTACTTTTGGCGAAATATTGATAAATAATAATCCGCACTTCTTGCACCATAAGCACAGCACAAAAATTGGAAAAATAATAATAATTTGTCAAAGAGATTGTTAGGATATTCACGGAAATATTCATACAACTCGCAATAGACGAACATCGACATTTTGAGGGCACCCAAAAATTATCGACCAAAGCGCGCAATGCATTACCCTGAGACACATTCTTTAATTTAATGTTAGAGTTAAGGAGGCTCCCTACAGTTGCGTGCGGGATGTTCGCGGGACCAGTACGTGAACTATCCCACGCAACCGCATGATCAAAACAAAACAAAATATTTTTTTTTAAAAAAAGCTATTTCTGAAAGGTTTCTAATGGGAAAAAGCGTTGAATAATACTTCGTTTTGAGTGCCAAATTACTTGCGGGTCTATACAGCAATTCTACATATGATACGAATACCACTAGACCAAAAATAGCTACGAAACAATGTTTTTTAATGTTTTTAAAATATACATTGTCAACTGTAAAACATTTGCAAAATTGCATACAAACGTTTAAAAAGTTGTTTACTTCTCAAGAAAACGTTCACGTTTTTAGTCGTGTTTCTACAAGATTAAAGTGATTATATGTAAACAGAAAAATGTCAGTTTCATAGCCTAATTGTTCATTTTTAGCAAAAAGTACAAAACCAAACATGAAACAAAAAAACACGTCCACCTGTTAATAGGCTGTTACAGCTCATAGATTGAGTAAACGGCAGGATTCAATTAGCTTCAACCTTGTTTTCATCGATTTAATCCTTCACAATAATCCTTGGCTGTCCGTAGCACTCAAATAAATCGAAAAGTTGACAAAAACAAAACAGTAAAAACGACATTGCGGCTCGATTTTGCTGAATGAAAACTCGTTCTGCGCCCGCGTACAATCTTTTACTAGTCAGCGACGCTTTTCAATAGGGGAATTTCTCGAGTTACACGAGGCTATTTTCTAACTTTATTTGCATTTTACTCATTAGTTTCATCGGTGACCTATCTTCAAATTTTGACCACGAATTTATTTTGCGGTAAATTTTATAAATTTCAAATTTTAAAAAAATCTGTAGTGTGGAAATTTCGCAATAAATTTTTCGCTTTTAAAAAAATCACACACTACAGAATTTTTTTAAACTTTCACCACAGTTGCAAAGCATCATTCCTTATTGATATATGAAATAAAAAAGATAGGTCACCGACATCGTTTTTGAGATAGCGGCACATTTATGGGTTAAATTGGAAGGCTTTATGGTGTCGTCATGTTGCCATGGGAACATTGACATGGTCGAAATCTAGTTCGAAATATTCCTTAGGTGACCAATATTACCACCAAGTCGAAAAGAATTCGCGTTCTGCACGAATAAGCCTGTTTTACGGAATTATTGCTTAAACAAGAATAACTGTAGGGAGCCACCTTAAGCTACGTTTACACGCTGCGATTTGTCGGGCCGATTTTGGTAAATAATCGATGCCCTTTCTTCGACATTTAGCGATTTAAACGCTCAGTTGAAGCTGTCCACTCTTTCGTCCGTTCATATTATAGTTTTCTGCGTGCGAAATGTTTTCAACAACTTTACAACGGAAGAAAAATCGTTGAATCGTGAGAAAAACCTGTGTTAGTGTTACAGATTTTTCTCCCGATTTTGTGAATCGCAAGGTGCTGACGCGAGTACTGACGACAGGTTATTTACATACAGCGAGCAAAATCGGCCCGACAAATGGCAGCGTGTAATCGTACCTTTAGGATTGGAGTTTGGACCGGGGGCTTCGGTGACGCAGTTGTCAGAGAAACCCATCACAATTGTCGTAAAAGGTAAAATAGTATACGCTAGCCAAGTGTGTAATTTGATGAGCGTAATAGTCTTGATGTACAGCGCGTTTGATCTTTTACATATAAATTTGTGCTGTATAGAAATTTTAATCTAATCTTAATTGGGATTAGGTTTGGGTATCGTTACGTAAGCGTTTTAACAATCATATGACAAATACCTAGACGCCATCCTGGAAATCACTCTGTCGTCCGACATATATCCTCCACGGCAAAACGGCAGATTTACGCAATATTTCTAATATTTAGCAGAAATTACGCAATATTCCTGGACGAGGTCCCAAGCTGTTCCTTCATTTCTTCATAAAATATGCGCATATAAGCTCTGACGTTTTTGCCACAGAGTCGCTAGCAGGCCATCCTAATGTAATATTAACATTTGGACTGGAACAGGCGTTTGTGCCGTTTAAAAAAGGATGTCCGCTTGAGAGACGGGCCGTTATTTCGGTTCGACTGTATTTATCATCATTTTGGTATAGCAATGAACAGAAGGAAATATTTATTCTTTACTGTTATTATTTTTCATTAATGTAATCAACTATAATCACATGCTTGGTGGCGTCCCGTGAGCAAATTAACATATTCGTTTTTAACTTCTTTATTTAACATTTAAATATATACAGTGCTTAAAAACTACAGTATAATTGTCTATTTGTGAGAGTGTAAATGCCGTTTACAACTAAACGGAATGTTTCTCTCGGAGTGGAATTTCCCTTTGTCTTTTCTAATTAGTTCCACCCGAGAAATCACAAGACAAAGAAGAATTCCGCTCCGCGCGGAAAATTCCGCCTAGTGGAAAACGGCCTTAAGGCAATGCATGCGAATTGCAAAAACGGTGTTCTTTTCCACTAATACTAACATTTTTAGCCTATTGTTCTTCTAATTAATTAAACTAATTACACACTATACAAATGTGATTTATAAAGTACAATAAACAAAGGATTTTGAATATACCAGCTCCAATCAAGTCCGTTCTACACCGCAGTGTCTGCACTAATAATTGTTTATACTTATTCCAGTTCAAACATGCAATAGGCGTATGGCTTGTTTGCCAAAATTATTTACGTTGAAGTACGTATGGACAGTTTCAATCTAAATATAGAACTTCAACTTCTGAAGGAGTGAAGTAATAGCGTGTGTTAGTTTGATTGTATCCTGGTGGAGGTTGATAGCTTTGACCAAAATTTGTGAAGGAGTTGGTGTTTGATGCCGCACCGCCGGAAACTTTGAGGTCATGACCATTCCCAAATGTTGGACCATAATGGATACTACGGTAAATTGCCTTATTGTCATTCTCAGATTTTAGTGGGGCTTTGAAAGGCGCAAGGTCCTGTTTATTACGAAGAGAAAATATAAATGATCCTGGAGCAGAAGTATAACCACCTGTGAAAAACGAAAGCAACAACATCTGGTTAGATAAGATTACCCCACTCGTCAGAAATGAATAATGAAATATTCTGTAACGAAGATTTTAAGTAAATGACTTACGATTATTTTATTATTATTATTATTATTATTATTATTATTATTATTATTATTATTATTACTATTATTATTATTATTATTATTATTATTATTATTATTATTATTATTATTATTATTATTATTATTATTATTATTATCAGCATTGAGCAGAGCAGCATTGTTTATACGCGCTCTGTACATGTTGTTCGTTTTATCGCTATTTTCTTACTTGAACCACAGTTTATTAATCAAAAATATTATAACTATCGAATTTACTAGGATATAAATCATGATTCGTTCAAGCCTTGTTGCTATGTTGGCCATTTGCGCTGTTTGCTCGTTCTGTGGCAAAGAGTTCGTTACACTCGGCCGCCATTCCTGGCGTTGTAAACAAAAGTTGAATCAAAATCTTCCTGGTAACACAGTTAACCAGATGCCGGTTATACATTCTGCTGTTAGGATCTCGAATACTGATGATGTGAAATGCTATTGTGGTAAATCATGCAAAGGAACACGGGGTCTTAAAATGCATCAACGTAGTTGTCGTGTAATACACGGATTAAATGACGAACTGCTTACGGACCTTGAACAACAATCTACTGAGAACTCTACTGATAGTTTTAATTCTTCTACTGTTGAGGAGAACGATGCCATGGCAAACGACGCAAGTAATCAGAATTTCCCAGTGTTAAAGAAAGGAATAAAACTCCCCAAAAACGACGCAGAATGGTCAACGGCCAATAACTATTTCAAATTCGCGATTGAATTAAATGCACCAATCAGAGCTCAAGATCTAAGCTCTAGCATCTTGCAATTAAATAATGTGGTCTACAATTATTTTGCTGATAACTTCGGTCATGCCGAAAAGATTCCGGATAAAGCACTGGTGGATAAGTACAGAGACCAAACAGTAAAGGAGTTGAAGAAATCTCTGAAAAAACTAAAACTTTCAAACGCCGAACCTCATGAAATTAAATACGTGTCTCGCACATTGCGTGAGAAATTGCGTAATGCCAGTCAAAACAATCTTGATGACCAGACAACTCAAAACCACAATGAGGTATTTAATCACGACAATTACATTGGCAGAAACTTTTGGGGTTACGTTAAAAACATCCTGAATAAGAACACTTCCCTACTTCCCACATTTTCGATGATAGAATGCCTGACATATTTCAAGAGAACTCTAAGCGCAATTAACACACATAAACTATTCTGTATTCCCAGCTGGATTCCAAAGTTATCCGAACCCGTCATCAATTTTGACCTTGAACCCCCAACATATCGCCAAGTTACAAATATAATTCGCCGAATGAAAGCATGCGCCTCACCTTGCCCGCTCGATCAACTTTCAATAATTTGCTTTAAACGATGTCCATTTCTTCGTACGTACTTGACAGAAGTAATACGTAGCGTTTGGTCTTCAAAATATGTACCTGCCGAATGGAAAAAAGCATGTTCTGTACTTATACACAAAAAGGGAAATACAAATGACCCTTCCAATTTCCGTCCTATTACTCTGGAATCCATACCCTTAAAAGTGTTTACCTCATATCTTCGCAACGCCATGTTCTCCTTTCTAACGGCTAATAATTTCATTGAACAAAAGATTCAGAAAGGCTTCACTCCCAATTTGTCTGGCACTTTGGAACACACAGCTCAAATGACAAACATCATCAACCAAGCGAGAATAAAACAACGCTCTGTTGTCATCACCCTTCTTGACCTTAAAAACGCCTTTGGTGAAGTGCATCATAATCTCATTCAATCTGTCCTCGATTATCATCACATTCCCGAACAGATTAATGAAATTATCAAGAGCTTGTATACTGACTTCAACACCACAATTATAACTGCCGAATTCTCTACCCCATTCATAACTGTTGGCCGAGGTGTACTTCAAGGAGACTGTCTTAGTCCTTTACTTTTCAATATGTGTTTCAACACCTTTATTCAGCACATTAAAGTTGATAAATACCGCCAATTTGGTTTCATGACCAAATTTTTAAATCCAATCCATTGGTTCCAGTTTGCTGACGATGCAGCCGTTATTAGCGGCCAAGAGAGCGAAAATCAGACCTTTTAAATCGCTTCTCAATCTGGTGTCAATGGTCAAACATGATTACTCGAGTCGACAAATGTAGTACATTTGGCATTAAGAAAAGTCTGACAAAATCAATCCAATACCTACCAAGACTCCTCATTGACAATAAATTAATACCGGCCACTAAAATAGGAGAGTCTTTCCGATACTTAGGGAAATATTTTGATTTCAATATGTCTGACAAAGATCACAAACAAGAACTAATCACCCTCCTTGAAGATATCATGTCAGAAATTGACCTCAAACCGCTACACCCAAAGAACAAAATTTTACTCTATAGTCGTTATCTCCTATCGAAATTCTCCTGGCATTTTACTGTCGCTACCTTATCAAAAACGTGGGTTTCTGAAAACATGGACTCAGTAGTTAATAAATTCGTACGGAAATGGCTTGAAATACCCGTATCTGGAACTTTAAGTAATGTCTTCCTCACAAGTAATAAATTTGGACTAAATATATACCCTCCATCCATCAAGTTCACTCAGTGCCAAACAGTCTCTCGTAAAGCCTTAAAAACTCTCCAAATGATTGTATAAGAAATTTATGGAAATCAACTTGCGACAATACTAACATACAGTACGACGTCTACACCTCAACAAAGGAAGTTCTTAAAAGTTTCAAATCTGCACAAGAGGACAAGCTTCAAAATCATCTGCTTCTCCAAGGCTCCTTTTTCTCTAACACCACCAAGTTCTCGTTGTCTACACTAAACAACCTATGGTCCAAATCTCAATCCAGCTTGCCAAAAAGCATCTATAACTTCACCATCCGTTACATCAACAACACTCTTCCCACACGCAAAAACCTTACAAAATGGGGAATAATGTCAAACTCGGATTGTTCCCTCTGCCTGAACCCTGAAACCCTTCTGCATGTGGTCGCGGGATGCCAGTCATACCTTCCACGATTTACTTGGAGACATGACTCCATTCTCAATTTTATCTCAAAAATATTCCAACCTGACCACAACTCCACTCTATTTGTTGACCTTCCTGGATACAAGAGCCCGTCAATAATAACCGGTGACACTTATCGCCCAGACCTGCTTCTTTCGATTTTAAATGATTGTCTGTACATACTCGAACTCTCTGTCGGATATGAATCCAATCTCCAAAACAACGTCGATCGCAAAAGGGAAAGATACAAGGATCTAATTACGCAGCAGAAAGACCATTTCAAAACTGTCAAATTTATTAATTTGTCTATTAGTGCCTTAGGTGTTTTCTCAAAAGAATGTAACACGTTTATGAAAATGTTGAACGAAGTTGGTCTTGATAAAAAACATCAGAACTTTTGTGTTAAGAAAATAATGTCCATCGCCATCAGAACAACGTACTATATATTTTGTTGTAGAAACAAGGATTGGACCGATCTGGACTTGATGAACATTTAAGAATGAGCTTTCTCTTAGTTTTATACCTGTAATATAGTTTTATCAATAATTAATAGTTCAAGTAGTCAATTATAAATTACCTTAATTAGTGAGATTTATAATTGTATATACATAAAATGTCAAAATAAAGTTTCCATTATTATTATTATTATTATTATTCTGTAGACGAAACAAAGACTGGAACAACCCAGAACTTTTAAACTTTTAACTAAATTTAAAAGATTTTCACCTGTATATATATTTTAGCTTTAAACTCAATTCAAGTGGACATCGATAAGCTACCTTTTATTAAGTGAGGTTTATCAATGTATATATAGTATATCGTAAATATCTAATAAAAAGTTTCCATTATTATTATTATTATTATTATTATTATTATTATTATTATTATTATTTTTATTATTAATACGACATCGAGCAGATCGTTCAAACGCGTTCTGTGCATGACCACAGTTTTATCGCTGGTTTCTTACTTGAATCACATTTATATTTGTTTAAAATTAAACACAAAAGTTTCTAATCATGATTCGCTCAAGTTTTATTGCTATGTTGCTCACTTGCGTCGTGTGTTCATTCTGTGGCCAAGTTTTGTAACGCTTGGGCGACACTCGTGACAGTGTAAACAACGTATTAATCGTGACCAAACCGCTCTGGAAACACAGAAAGAGAAATGCCTGCTTTGAGTAATCCTAACATACCTATTACACAACGAACTGTAATTAAATGTTGCTGCGGCAAAGTTTGTAAAGGCAATCGGGGTTTGAAAATGCACCAGCGTAGCTGTCAAGTCTTACATGGGCTAAACAACGATCTGCATCTTCACGAGCAAATTGCAGATAACCCTGAGAATATCATAACGGACGACCGGCCACTCACCACACAGTCAACTTTAGACAGTGAAGTAATAACTCCTGATCTAAAGAAAGGCATAAATCTTCCGAAGAAGGACTCTGAATAGGAAACGGCCAACGATTATTTTAAATTTGCAATCCCTTTTAATGGACCAACCATATCGCAAGATTTCAATTCAAGCATAAGGCATTTAAATGATACTACATATAATTACTTTGTTGATAATTTTGGAAATGTTGAGACGGCCCTCGATGAGAAACTCGTAGCAAAGTATAAAGATAATCTATAAAGGATCTAAAGAAGGCTTTGAACAATCTAAAGTCCACATATTCGGAGGTAGCCGAAATAAAATATGTGTACGTGTCTCGTATTCTGCGCAATAAGCTTCGTAACCATGGTGACATTCAGAGAGACTCCAACCGAAACAACTCGTTTAATCACGACAAATACGTGGAAAGAAATTTTTTGGGTTTTATTAAAACCGTTTTAAATAAGGAAGATGCTGTGTTCCCATCCTTCAGCATGACAGAATGTGCGGTTTATTTTACTAAAACTTTAGCTGCAGTTCACCCTGGCAAACTGTTTCATATTCCAAGCTGGATTCCTAGGTTATCTGATCCGCAAGTGGAATTTGACCTTGACCCGCCTTCATACCAACAAGTTACTGCTGTTATCCGTAAAATGAAAGCATCTGGTTCTCCTTGTCCTCTCGATCAAATATCAGTCATATGCTTTAAGCGATGTCCTTACCTAAGAACTTATTTAACTGAACTAATACGCTCTGTCTGGCTTTCAGGATCTATCCCGAGTGAATGGAAGAGAGCTTGCACTATACTTATTCATAAGAAAGGCAACACGAGTATTCCCTCAAATTTCCGACCGATCACACTCGAATCTATACCGCTTAAAGTATTTACATCATGTCTGCGTAATGCAATGTACTCCTTTCTCAGCGCCAATAACTTTATAGAACATAACATACAAAAAGGCTTCACCCCAAATCTGTCTGGTACTATGGAACATACTTCGCAAATGGCTAATATAATAAACAAAGCTCGGATAAAACAACGTTCACTTGTCATCACACTACTTGACCTCAAAAACGTTTTTGGAGAAGTTCATCACAACTTAATCCAATCTGTCCTTGGCTATCATCACATCCCTAATCACATGAATAATTTAATAAAAAGCTTATACACTGATTTTAAAACTTCCGTAATTACGTCTGAGTTCCGTACCCATTTTATACCTGTTGGCCGTGGTGTATTGCAAGGTGGCTGTCTTAGTCATCTACTATTTAATATGTGTTTCAACACATATATTCAACATATCAAAGCTGAAAAGTACCGTCAGTTCGGTTTCTCCCTCCAACTTCTTAATCCAATCCACTGGTTTCAGTTTGCCGATGATGCTGCGGTTATTACTGGTCAATAGTCGGAAAATCAACATCTCCTTAATCTATTCTCTATCTGGTGTCAATGGTCCAACATGGTTGTTAGAGTTCATAAATATAGCACATTTGGCATCAAAAAAGTTTTATCAAAATCTGCCCAGTACCTGCCGAAGCTTTTGATCAATAGGGATCTCATACCAACGATTAAGACTGGAGAATCATTTGAGTATTTGGGACGACTTTTCGACTTTAACATGACTAATGAAAAACATAAATCTAAAGTGATTTCACTCATTGATGAACTAATGTCCGAAATAGATCTTAAACCTCTTCACCCAAAAAACAAAATTTTAGTTTATAGTCGTTATGTTTTGTCGAAGCTATTCTTTGCTACGATATCTAAAACTTGGGTAGTCGAAAATATCGATTCTTCGGTGAACAAGTATATCCGAAAATGGCTGGAAGTACCTATATCTGGAACACTAAGTAACGTTTTTCTAACCCATAATAAGTTTGGTTTAAATATCCTCCCTGAATCAGTCAAATTCATTCAGTGTCAAACAGTTCTACGCAATGCCCTAAAAACATCTCCAAACGATTCAATAAACGAACTGTGGAAGTCAACTAATAGTCATACTAACATTCAATACGATAGCTACAACTCAACTAAAGAAGTTTTAAAAACTTTCCATTCTCAACAAGAAAATAAACTTAGGAACCGTTTGAAATGTCAAGGTTCCTTTTTCGAAAATGTTTCTAAATTCTCCCTGTCACAACTTAACGCAATCTGGTCGGTATCGCAATGAAAGCTACCAAAGAACATTTTCAACTTTACAATTCGTTATATAAATAATACCCTTCTTACCCAAAAGAACCTCAGTAGATGGGGAATTTCATCAAGTTCTGACTGCTCGTTCTGCTTACACCCTGAATCACTTCTACACGTTGTTGCCGGTTGTCAACATTACTTGGAACGATTTACTTGGAGACACGATTGCATACTAAACCTTCTTGCAAAAACTTTTCAAAGTTTAAACGAATGCAAATTACATGTTAGTCTTCCTGGATTTGAAAGCCCCTCGATTATTACGGGAGATGAATATCGTCCTGATTTACTTGTCTCCACTTCAGACAAACACCTCTACGTTGTTGAACTTACCGTAGACTTTGAATCAACCCTCACAAACAATGTTAACCGCAAGAAAGCTAAATATAAAAACCTAATTAGAGAACTGGATCAAAACTTTACATCTGTTAAATTTATAAATCTTTCTGTCAGTTCGCTAGGGGTGGTTGACAAAGAATGTCATACATTCGTAAAATGCTAAATGAGTTAGGACTGGATAATCAACACCAACAATATTGTATCAGAAAAATTATATCTATTGCCATCCAATCAACGTGCTACATATTTTGCTGTAGAAATAAAGAATGGACAAATCCCGAACTAATGAACATTTAATTTAAAGTAACTATTTCTATAAATAAGTAGCAATTTTTGAATATAAAATTATAACCATGCATGTATAAGTGATTCAAGTAGTCAATTGTAGGTTACCTCAAGAAGTGAGATTTACAATTGTATATATCTATGAATGCTCTATTAATAAAGTTTTCATTATTATTATTATTATTATAATATACCGGGTGGCCCAAAAAAAAGTACTCCTGTTTGATTCGTAATAACATCTAAACAAGTATAGCTTTTGAAGAGAAATAACTTGGATCAAATAGAGGAAGGACTAACTTAGACTTTGATATATTACAGTTGTATTTCACTTAAAAATTCACGGAGATATTAATCTTTAAATTCGGGAGGATATTTCTGGATGTGTCTGAAATATGCAAAAATCGGCGTATCAAATATTAATGAAGATTTGCCCGACTGAAACATGCACTATTACCAGTAAATAAATGACACTTGACAAATTGTTTATTATGAAACAAAGTATTATTATATCTATTAATCCTGCTCTAACCGAGAAATAATCAACTTTGTTTTGAACCCATGAAAAACATAAAAAAATAGGTTATTTAAGAAAAATTGAAGCGCCTGTCTTGCATGGTCTTTCAGTACCTTAAGTTTGCAAAGACCTATTAAATACTTACATAATTTCGAACGTTCATATTTCAGGAAACAATAAGTTAAGACTTACATGTAAGATGTTTAAATCTACGCCATATCCCTTACAAACCCTAACGACAATTCGCTGAAATACAATTTACCCTGATATGTCATTAAGCAAACAAACGCTGTAGTGAAAATTTGATACGCCGATTTTCGCTAATTTTAGACACATCCCAAAATATGCTCCCGATTTTGAACATTAATATCTCCGTGAATTTTTAAGTAAAATACAACTGTAACATATCAAAATCTAAGTTAGTCCTTCCTCTATTTAATGCAAGTTATTTCTGTTTGATAGCTTTACTTGTTTAGAAGTTATTATAAATCAAACAGGAGTACTTTTTTTTGGGCCACCCGGTACAGTACCTGCGTTATGAATTAAATGGCTCAAATACTTAATGGACCATTCCCCAATTAACCAAAATTTTGATCTCAACAAGTCTACACAAAATTCCATCACAACTTGAAAGAGCATCACAAAATTAGTAATATTCCAAAGTTTCGTTGCAAAATGTTGTAAAATGCGGATAATATAGCCTTGCGAAATTTGCAATTTTCAGTCATTGTAGATTACAAACGGGAAATGGTTACCACTTTTCCAAAATTTTGATCTTAACTAGCCTAAACAAAAATTTCATCACAGCTTGAAAGAGCATCACAAAATTAGTAATATTCCAAAGTTTCGTTGCAAAATGTTGTAAAATGCGGATAATATAGCCTTGCGAAGTTTGTAATTTTCAGTCATTTTGTATTACGCACAGAAGTGGTAACCATTTCCCGTTTGTAATCTAAAATGACTGAAAATTGAAAACTTCGCAAGGCTATATTATCCGCTTGGAATATTACTAATTTTGTGATGCTCTTTCAAGTTGTGATGAAATTTTGTCTAGACTTGTTGAGTTCAAAATTTTGGTTAATTGGGGAATGGTTCATTAATATACTTTTACAACATCGTTTACCAGAGGACCAACTGGAGTAAGAGCTCAGGCCTTAGACGCAGATGGTAATTTGGTGGAAGACTTTATATTAGATCAAGGAGAAGGAGAACTTAGCAAGCGGTTACTTCATGTAAGAAATGCTCCATCGCCTGCAGCCACCTCTTCACTCCCTATTGCGGAAATGATTATAGATCAAGTGGATGCACGCTTCGATTTAACTCAAGGTTGAAGTGCGAACCCGAGAATCCCTGTGAACGAAGATGGTTGAAGTCTAGATTTGGCACTCGGAAATCTAAAAGAGGAGTGGTATCGAATGGTAAGGCCAAAAATACCTGGGTCTCCGGTTTCCCAATCCTATTTAGCTTTTGGCCACTGACATTACCTACATTGATCTTTTTATCTGAAATTTGCAAAGAGCTTGGGGCAATTTTTTGTACCCAGTTCCTGGCTTTAGTTGTACCATTCTCGTCCCCAGAGCCATTTTTACTCGGTCACTCGTTGAAAATTAGGCTCTGGGTTAGACGACTAAAGAGATAGTTCTGATTGGCTTCTCAGAGAACTGCTATTTCGCAGAAGTTGAGCAGTTTTCGCAAGGCAAAATTAGTCTATCAAAATATGTCAGCACACAAATACTTCGTTTCTTCGTAAAACTTCTCTGGAAATTAAGAGTATGTACATCAAATATGCGCTATGCGCTTTAGAAACTACTACAAGTTTTCTTCAACTTCCGGTTCCGTGTATCCCAGGGCGCGTGAAGGGTCGCGCGCGGCCGTGCGACGAACGAGGATGATTTTGTACTAGCTATATTAAGTATAACCCGCGTTTCAAAGTTGACATAACATTTAACGAATGTTTGTGCCATGTGTAAAAAAATATTTACAAAATTAAAGAAAACCCGAACTACCCAACCAAGTTTTTGCAACAAGAAATAGGAAACCCAGGTATTTTTTATTTGGCTTAATGATAATAAAATTAAATTGTCCAAATCAACTAACGCAGAATATTTTGTAAATTTATACATCAATCTTAAGGAATCTTAATTTAAAAATCTCTACGGTTAAAAATGCGTGTCAAGAACATATATGACCAGGGATTTGACATTGAAACAGGGTCTTAGCCAGCCTACCGTCCAGCCGTCTTTTGGACGGCTATTTTCAAATTTGGACGGCCCTATAAAAAAGACGCCTTTTGGACGGTTCGCTATTATGGTGGCGGCTTTTAGACGGCTTGGTAAAAGGTGTAGAGTACCTTACAATAAAATATTATGTTAATTTATGTATTTGCGTTTCGTTCGCTAAGTAGAAACGGCTAGTAATATGTAATTTTGTAATCCGAGTATAAGCATGCGCCGCTAGGGACACCTACGCAAATTTTATTGACCCTTCAGGAAATAGACTCGCCTAGTTTTCAACTATTTGGCAACTTGCTTGTGTGTAATGGTTAGAATTGCAGAAGCAGAAAGGGTGTTTAGCAAGCAGAATCGCATGTATTACTGTAGTCAGTGTAGTGATAGTGACATAGTCTGAATAATTGAATATATTATTATAGTTTTTGGGCGATTTTCGAGTGCGGTCACCGATTACTCCAAGCATTCGGGAATAATCACATTGAATTACTGCTGCATGAAGTGGTACCATGGTTCCATATGGCAAAAATTGGGTTTCGTAAACGAAATTGCAAATTTGGACACCCACGTTGCAAATCCTGGCTAAGACCCTGCATTGAAAGAACAATGGCCCAAAATTATTTGCATCTGGTAGTTGTCTACGTATAAGGGAGCATTCATTTTTTAGCTGGGGGGGTGGGCCGGAGGAATTTGGGGGTGGGTCAGAGGAATTTGGGGGTGGGTCAGCCAATTTTGACATGCTTCAAAGGGGTGGGTCTTTTTATAGTTTTGTTATAAATGGAGGGGGTCATAAAAATAATCAGTGAAAAAATCACCAATATGATTTTATTGAATTTGGACATATTTGGATCAAGAATGGTAAAAAGGTCTAGAATCTATCAATTATCTCGTCATCTATAACAATGAAGCAAAATTCATTTGACGCTCTGTTCACACAGTCCATAGGAAAACATTCCATGATGTTTGTCAATTGACCTCGTTTTTATCCGTTTTTGCGTGAAAACATCAATGAAAGAAAACGCAGGACCGTAGCATGATTTCAAAATCATGCATGATTTCAAGGTCTGCATGACTTCAAAATCATGCAGATCTTGATCAATTTTAAGCTTTATTAATTTTAAGCGGCTACATTATCCATGACAAACTGCAAATAATGAAGATAGTACCCACAGTTTCCTGCAACTTATCCTAGTTATCCAACATATAGTAAAATTAATATGCCTTCGCCCATTTAGTACTACCAAATTGTCAATTTTGACATACTAAAACGCTGTTTTCTGACCATCAGAATTCTGTCAAATCTTCCCCCAAAGGCCAGGAAATGGCATTTCAGAGACTCTAGATTTAAAAATTTCCTCGGGCCTTCGGCCCTCGCTTTCAGCCCCCCAATCAAAAAGAGCTTCCTACGGCCCTGAAACGCTATGGAAACGACACCATGTGGATTAATAGTTAGGATGAGGGGTCAAAAAATTTTCAGTAAAAAAAATAGGGGGTCATAATTTTTTATCAACTTTTGTCTTGAGGGTTCCAAGTTTTCGCATGGAATTAGACTTCAGTTCCTCCGGCCCACCCCCCCAGCTAAAAAATGAATGCTCCCTAAAAACAAAAAAAAACACGACCATTTTAAGAGAGACCCCCCCCCCCGACCAGTGGCGGGAGTAAATAGACGTGCATCACCAGGGCCGCACGATTCATTCATTGGGGTGGGGGTAGGGAATAATACCTACATGCTGAAATAAGTACCCAAATGTCGATGTATTCAAAGACTCAAAGTCATATCAGTCAGATGCATGCTTATGTCCGCCCCATACAGAATCATACATTCTGATCAGTGAAATGAATTTAATTCTGATCAGTGAAATGAATTTAACTATACCTTCAGATAAACTGTCTATCTTTTTCTTGACTCCAATCTCTCGCGAGACCAGTTCAGGGAGCGATCATGCAGTTTTAATACGAAAAAACTAAAAGCAAAGTCTACTAAGAAGTTTTACCTGAATAAATGCATTAATACAAAATTTTCAAGATTACTTATTCATAATGACGGATTGACCGCGCTCTTCGCATGCGTGAAAGACTGGGGCAGGCCTTCAAAGTTTGGCTTCAAATTTCCGTTTGGAGGTATCGTTAAGGCTGTTTTCCACTAGGCGGAATTTTCCGCGCGGAGCGGAATTTCTCTTTGTCTTGTGATTTCTCGGGTGGAACTAATTAGAAAAGACAAAGAGAAATTGCGCTCCGCGCGGAAAATTCCGCCTAGTGGAAAACGGCCTTTATATTCATTTCACTGATTGTGATCCACAATATTATGGCGCCATTTGGGGTGGGGGGGGGG